TTTAATTAACTTGGCCACTCATCAGCTGAGAAAACAAGGTGAGATTGCAATTAAGTTTAAAAAAATATTTTTTTTGTGCCTTACTGCCGGATTTGTCAGATTCAATATTAATTTTTGGAGAACTGACATTGGATGGGAACTGCCATACCAGGTGTAAGCTGGAACATAACACCAGGAATCTGACAAAACAAGTCTGAAGAAGTTACACATCAAATGAATTCAAGAATAACTGGTTTTTCTAGTTTAAATCAAGGCTGTTTACAACCTCCCTGGAGACGTCACTTGAAGACTTCTCTCATCCGCACCCATTTTCGAACACGGAACGACTTTGGTAGGTAGGGTTTTAGCTAAACATTTTGTTTATTTCCAAATTACTGAATTAAAAACTTTGTACTGTTCGATATTCTCGGTAATTAACATGTATGTTTCGTTTTGTAGGTCGATCAGGTTAGAGTGGTTTATCGGTAAGTAGCCAGAGTATTCATATTTAAAGACGTTTTAAAGACGAGCTCTTCAGCTTATGTTTAACTCTGTAGGGGCTTTGTTACGAACGGCCCCCGCTAAAATGGATAGCAGCTCAATGATCTGCAATAGACGCTCAGACTGCAATTGCAATCAATAAAGCTCCGACTATTAAGAATTCTCGCAGCGTAGATCCCTTAATTGGGTTAAAATGAGCTCATGTAATCGTACAAACAGAATAAGAAATTGCGTCTACAAAGAAGGCGCCAAAGCGCTTGAATTACCCACTTTGGCGTCCAATCAAATTCTGAAAATTAGTCGGCAAATTGGCAGCTTAAATCATTCTTCATTACACCTTTCTTGAAGACCTTAAGGTCTTAAAACTTAGGCCGAGGCTCGTTTTACACGTAGCTCTGGTAACATTGCAGGTAAGTACTACAAGAATCAAAATTGATCTCCCATCCTATTACTTGACGCATTACTTCGCGCGAGCGTGCACTTCCCTCATTAAATCTGACTTCAGAAAAAGAGAGACTGCTCGAAGTCTATTCCTACTTGAAAATGTTAGAGAAACAAATTCACCGTTATTTTTTTCCGTTTTAACAGATCCATCCGTGAACGGACAGTTTCAAGTGAATTATTCTCCTGAGTGGCTGTAAAATCATCATGAAGTTTTCTTTCGCTTGCCTTTTTCTTCTGATAGCTGCTCATGGTGCATGCCAGGGAAAATCGGTAATACCTCAGCCTTTGCTTCTTGGGGTTAAATTAATTATTACATGTTCATGCAGGGGAGTGAAAAATGATTTGCATGGACATATTGAACATTCTTCTATGTTTGGCGCCTTCCTAAGCCTGATATGTGACCTGTACATGCGTATTCGATCTATTTTAATATAATTGGAATAAAATATTTTTATTTATCTTTATCAATATTTATTTCATGCCATCTATTTATATTTTTTAAGGCTAAAACTTTTCACGCCGATGTCAAACAAAAAATGAATCAAGCACAGGTTTCTGAACCTAAGGTAGGACATTTTGTATTAGCTAATTATCAAAGATACATGATATCAGAGCACCGGCCAACAAGTGAAGTAAGAATTAATGAATCATGAGGTAGATGGTTAGCTGAGATAAGAGTGTTGTGTCTCCTTCAAAACTTAAATTCTCATGCGGCAAAAAGACATAAAAAAGAAAGGGCTATTTAACTATAAGAAAATAATAATAATAAAAGTTATACAATACTATAACAAGATCACATCTTATTTTAAAATATTCACGAAAAAAAAAAAAGCGGGACTGTACCAAGGAAACAAGTTCTGATAATTGAGGTTCGACAGACTGTAAAAGAAAATGAAATGATATGAAATGGCATGAAATAAAATAAGATGAAAAGTTGGGAGATGGATGGCCTAATACACCTGAACTTCGGTAAATAATTGTTGGCTATTGCTAATTCTTCTAATTTTATTTATTGTCTTTATTACCATTATAATATTAATTATTAAGGCTAAAACGTTTGACGTTGATGTTAAACAACAAATGGATCCGGCACAGGTCTCAAGCAATAAGGTAAGATATATTATTTATTGACTAATTTTAGCCAAAAAAAAAAGACTTAAAGAGAACGAACAGATGAAGTGAAAATTCATGCAGCCCCAGTTCGAGTAGATGGATACTTAGCTGAAATAGGAGGGCCGCGCACCTCATTTTCTGCAGTAGGCGACTTACCTTCTGAGGCAGTAAACCGAAAAGAAATAAATAAAGAAATATCAATTAAATAGAAAAAGGGAGATGCCTGGGCTAAGGGATCGTGAAACAGAAATAATCAGTTATACATCTAGCCGATTTTTTGAAAACCAACCTAACGAAATTTGCAGTCAAAGGCGTCAAAAGGCATGTTTGTTAAGCCCGAGAAGCTCAAAAATCACAGTAACGATGGAAATTAAAGGAAAGGAGAAAAAACAGGGGCGAGGAGAAGGAAAGGAACTGAGAAGGAAAAAAAAAGCAATAGTTGCACTATTAGTTTTTATAATAG